ATGTGGCAAAGTTGATTAAGCTTCAGATTAAATTTTCATTATTAGGGAGAGAAATTGGAATGAAGTAGAACTTGATTTAAGCAATCAAGGCCGAAGTCCTACTCTCCGTAGGAGAGGATAAAGTAACTCAGTTTTTAATGCAAAGCAGGATATGATTTCTGATTAATCATTCCAGCAGCCCTCTTTCTCCAAATTATTTCCAGGACCTTTGACCTGAAATAAAGGGAAAGGGAAAGAAATAGAACAAAAGAGTGCAGAGATGCCAGCCTATAATAATATTCCTAGAGAATATCTGCTTTCTGAAATTGTTCTTGTAGGAGAACAGTTTCCTGTTTAATAACAGCAAAATTTGGCACCAATAAATACGGACAGTAACTTTGCAGAGCAGTTTAAACAAGAAATGAAGGAAGTTAGAATATCAGTTTTGGATTGATCAATGCAGAAGGATACAGGCTGAAACAGGAATACAACTTAAGGCACCTCTTCATGGTCCTCCATGCTTCAGCACCTTGGAGAGTTCCCCCATTTGATCATAGACCAAAAAAATAGAATAACAAAGTTGGAAGGGACCTTAGAGATCTTCTAGTCCAACCTTCTCCTCAAGCAGGAAACCCTTTATCATTTCAGACAAACGGCTGTTCAATCTCTTCTCCAATGATGGAGCATACACAATTGCTGAAGACAAGCTATTGGTTGATTGCTTTCATTGTTGGGAAATTTCTCTCAGTTCTAGGTTGCTTCTCTCCTTGATTAGTTTCCATCTATTGTTTCTTGTCCTGCCTTCAGGTGCTTTGGAGAATAGGTTGACCCCCTCAAATATTGGAACGCTGCTATCATGTCACCACGAGTCCTTGTTTTCATTAGACTAGACATTTTTATTTTTTATTTTTATTTTATTTAGAAAAGTTATATAACCCCCTACTCACAGAGACTCTAGGCACAAACAAGAGTGTCTACATCTTTTTTATATTGTGGCTTGCTAAAATATAAAATATAAGCCTGGCTTACTAAAAATTGCTTTCAAGCAGCAATCATCCCCCCATAGCTGTTCATAAAGTTGAAGCAGCAGCTACACCCAATTCTTCCTTGCCACTCCATTTTAAGCCATGTCCTCTAATATGCTGATATGTGTTGTTGGTCCTGCCACTGCTGATTAAGATGCTAGCAGATATGCTCATCTCAAATGAAGGGTTGGGTTGGAATTGAGGTATCCGTCAGATGTGGCTAGTTTTTGAGAGATCTGGTGCAGCTCTTGGCATTAAAAGTATCAGAATAGAAAAGAAAAGTGCACCCCAAAGTTTTGAATACTAAATTGATTCAGAAATGTATTAAATGGCACATAGGTGGGTCTGATTGGGATAAACAGTAGAAATGACACATAAATGTTTTGCATTCTTTTTTAATTTAAATTTATTTTATTCCATTTTTATATATGGTTTTATTAATGTTTGTGTTTTACATTCTGTATTTTGATTATGGCCCATTGACTGCTAAACAATAAAGTTACAAGTATTATTTAAATAGTACTTTTAAGGAAAGAAAACATAGAATTTTGATTTCTATCTTTCCCTCCCTCCCTCTTTAACCCTTCCTTGGAGGACCCAAGAATAGGGCCCATGAATAGAATGGAATGGAATGGAATGGAATGGAATGGAATAGAATAGAATAGAATAGAATAGAATAGAATAGAATAGAATAGAATAGAATATTTGGAATTGAATGGAATGGAATCTGGAAGGGACCTTGGAGGTCTTCTGCTCAAACAGGACAACCTATACCATCTCACACAAGTGACTGTCCAGTCTCCTCTTAAAAACCTCCAGGGATGGAGCAACCACAACACCTGAAGGCAGCCGTTCTACACTGGTTAATTGTCCTCACTATTAGGAAGTTTTTCCTCAATTCCAGGTTGCTTCTCTCTTTGGTTAGTTTCCAACCATTGTTTCTTGTCCTACCCTCTGGTGCTTTAGGGAATAATTCGACCGCCTCTTCTTTGTGGCAGCCCCTCAAATACTGGAATACTGCTATCATGTTGCCCCTAATTCTTCTTCTTTTTAGACAAGACCAAATAATCAGTTCTATCTTATCTTCTTTCAACAAAAAGTCTATATACGTTTTCTAATATTTTAAAAAAATCTGTATCTTTTCTATCTTTATCTATCAGAGCTTAATCAACTTTGCCACAAAATGGTGAGTGTTGCATCAAGTTTATAATCCAATCTTCTATTGTGGATATTATTTAAATAGCATTTATGTGTGCAATATAGTAAATAATTGTAAAATAATAAGATGTAAAGAGAAAAGAGTGCAGAGAAGGGCAACAAAGATGATTGTGGCTAAAATGTATGAAGAAGGGTGGCAGAAGTTGAGTATGGCTAGCCTAGTGAAAAAAAAGAACCAGGGAAGACATGATGGCACTGTTCTAGTATTTGAGGGGCTCCTACAAAGATGAGGAAGGTCAACCTATTTTCTAAGGCACCAGAAGGCAAGACAAGAAAGAATGGATGGAAATTAATCAAGGAGAGAACCAACCTAGAACTAAGGAGAAATTTCCCAACAGTGAGAACAATTGGACTCCCCTGAAGCTCCATGAGACATAGTCAAGAGTAATTGATGATAGAAATGTCTTTTCAGCAACAGCAGGTAATCTAGAAGGTCCCTACCCTGGTCCTTTGCTTGTCGCTATAATTGCATTAAAAACTCTATAGAATCTTGCTTCAGTTTATGTTCTCCTTGCCTTGACCATAAAACTAACTTTTAACTAACTCTCTCTCCCCTCCTCCTACCCTTCCTTCCATTCTTCCCCCTCTTCCTTTTTTTTCTTCTCTCCCCTTTTTCTTCTCTCTCCTCCTTTTCTCTCCTGACTCATTCCTTAAATATATGATTAAGTAAGTTGACCACATGTTCAGCCAACTGGGACTCACCTAGATCAGGGGACCATCTGCTGTACCCCTATGTCAGCTGCTCAAATAACTTTACCTTTTTAAAATTATTTTTAAAAATAGGTCTAGCACCAGCTGTTCCAAATGAGCCTCTGTTTAAGTAAACTTATATAAAATTAGTCATGGCTGAAGCCTCTGCTGTGCAACTGGCTTTGAAATTGTGACGTTTGCTCAGTTTTTATTTCTAATTTCGACTGCAAACATTTCGTATTTCAATCTGACACTTTTCTTAACAGTGTCTTTTTTTCCCCAAACGTGACAAAGATATGACCAGAATCTTCAACTCTATGGTGCTTGAGGAATTGTGAGTTCAGCACCAGTAAAACACTGCTTGAAGAATAGTAGAAACGTGTGTTAGCTAAGGCTAAGGCAAGTTGGAAGGAGGCATGGTTCACTAATCTACAGGCTGCCCCACTCAGTCATCTAGCAAAGAAAGACTCCATTTGTTTTGGCCAAGAGTATAACTTTACCGAAGCTTAAGTGTGTACAGAAATAGTGTAAGCTGAATGTGCAAACAATACAAAGTAAATTTGTATACACCAGCCCCCCACCCCCCCTCCAAGTTATCTGTAACTGTCCAATTTGGTGCTTGTATATTGTTTAGGAAACAGGTTCATTGTTACCAGCTCTGCATATCAATAGTTGACCTTGGCTGGCTGAAGCTTCTCACAAGGTACTCATCTCAAATAATTTAATTGCTAGAGCCCACTGTAACTACATAGACAAAAAGGCATTAAAGAGTTGTTAACCTAATCCTACGTAGCTTTTCCTCTGGTAATATCACAGTACTAACTAGAGCATACAAACCATTTGCTAGACCAATACTTGAATACAGCTCATCAGTCTGGAACCCACATTACGTATCTGATATTAACACAGTTGAGAAAGTCCAGAAATATTTCACAAAAGTTCTCCACTCCTCTACTCGTTGCAGAATACCTTATGCCACCAGACTTGAAATTCTAGACCTAGAAAATCTACAACTACGCCGCCTCTGGTCCGATCTAAGTATAGTATATAAAATCATATATTGCAATGTCCTACCTTCAAATGAATACTTCAGCTTCAACCATAACAACACTAGAGCACACAATAGATAGGTTAACTGCACCAAACTTGATTTCAGGAAATACGACTTCAGCCACAGAGTGGTCAGTGTCTGGAATACTCTACCTGACTCTGTGGTTTCTTCCCCAAACCCCAAAAACTTTAACCTTAGACTGTCTACTATTGACCTTACCCCTTTCCTAAGAGGGGGCGTGCATAAGCGCACCAATGTGCCTACCATCCCTGTCCTATTGTTTCTTTTATTTTTCTTATGTATCCATGATTCATAACTATGTTTTTACTTATACCTATTATCTTGTAAGCCATTGACAAATCAAATCAAGGAAGGAAGGAAGGAAGGAAGGAAGGAAGGAAGGAAGGAAAGAAAGAAAGAAAGAAAGAAAAGTGCAGTTGGGCTCCCCCCATCTTTCTTTCATTCCAATCCTTCCCTCTCTCCACCCCCCCCCACCCCCATTGCTAAAGTCAGTCTGCCAGCTCATGAAGCATGGATAGGACAGGTACAGCCATGACATTCCCCTTGACTGGTGGTCTCCATCATTCTCTTTGCCCACATCGTCCAGCATATATGGGAGACCAGAGATATTTCTCTTATTTATTTGACGTATTTCTGTTTTTAGTAGATCTATGGACTAGGGAGATAAAAAGACCGAAACCCTCTCCTCCTGCTTAAAACTGCAACGGAAATGTTGTCTGTTTGCTAACTGTGTGGGGGGGAACTTCTCCCTGGCAAATGGATTTCTAGACTTCTTGCTGCATTTCAGAGAGAAACTTCCAGTCAGTATTAATCCGCAAGAGATCTTGGGTGTGCTAGAGTTCCACCTCATCCCACAGCATAAAAGTTGAGAGGTTCCATCCAGGGTTGGTTCTTTCTAGCCATCTTAATGAATGGCCTTTGCATTCCAGCGACTGTGTTCATTTCTCCCGAGGAGATGAAATCAGAGTTTTAAACATGACACAGTTTTGAATGTGTTCTGTTTTGTTTTCCTGCAGGATCTGATAAGAAGAGACATCTTGTACTACAAAGGACGGATTGATATGGACCGCTATGAAGTTTTGGATATTGAAGACGGACGGGACGATGACTTCAATGTGAGCATGAAGAATGCTTTCAAGCTGCATAATAAGGAGACTGAGGAAATGCATTTGTTTTTTGCCAAGAAGCTGGAAGAGAAATTGAGGTGGCTCAGAGCTTTCCGCGAGGAGCGAAAGATGGTGCAAGAAGATGAGAAGATAGGTAAGACATGAGGTTCTCAGCAGGTGGGTCTTAGAGCTCAGGAATAGGATTTGCACCTCACACAACATCTGCTAGGACCCCCTGTATAAACAGGCCCTAGCATCCCCCCTTCAGTGTGACTGCAGGAACCCACCTCAAACAGGAGAGGGCATATACTGGGCCCAGTAGCTGATTTTTTTTTAAATATAAATGATGCTGCATTTCAGTGGATAGAGGGCCAAACATTGGCATCTGAACATAGATCTTTTTAACATTTATATTTTATTGTGTTTTACTAATATGGGGAAAACGTCAACATGCATTGTTAGTCCATGCATGATATACCATACTTTAAATAAACAGAGATTCGGAACCCTTCTTCCCTCCTGGTTAGATATTGAATGTTGGCCTCCTATTGCTCCATTTGTCCATTGGCTTCCAAATACGTCTGGAATCTCCTGAAAAGAAGAACCAACAGGTTGCACCATCTCTTTCCTATTATCCATTCTTGCAATGGGAAACTACAACCATGTGTTTTTCCTTGCATGATAGCAACAGCAATAGCACTTAGATGTATATACTACCCCATAGTGCTTTACAGTGTCAAAGTATTGTCCTCAATAATCTGGCTCTTCATTTTACCAACCTCGGAAGGATGGAAGGCTGAATCAACCTTCAGCTCATTGGGATCAAACTCCAGGTTGTGGGCAGAGTTAGCCTGCAATAGCAATAGCACGTAGATTTATATACCACTTCATAGTGCTTTACAGCCCTAAGCACATTACAGAATCAGCCTCTTGCCCCCAACAATCTGGGTCCTCATTTGACTGACCTCAGGAGGATGGAAGGCTGAGCCAACTGTGAGCCTGTCAAAATCGAACTCCTGGTAGTGGGCAGAGCCAGCCTGCAATGTTGCATTCTAACCATGGAGCCACCATGGCTCCTCATATAGAAAAGCCCACTTTTGCTCCCAGATCTGTCTTCCTTCACATAGAAAACCATGGGCTCCAGTCAAAGAAAATCTTGTGCTGCCTTCCAAGGAGCAACATAACTGACTGTAAGGCAGAGTGGAGCAAGGAGGCTTTGAAGAGAGTATCAAGCTTTTGCTTGATGTCCTTCAAGGGATAGGAAGATATTGTCTCTTTAATTTCCCAATGTAGATTTTCCAGGCATGACGGGGGTCCCCAAATTCCCAGCCATCATTCATGGGAAATCTTAAAAGTTTAACCCCAACTTGTCCAAAGGAGCCAGTGGCTGGAAGCAGCAGTCATGTAGTCACATGTAGACGGGCAAGCGCTTCAGAAAATGGAGCTGGTTGTCTAATCAAGGAGTGTGTATGCATCAAGCTGACTGACTGGAGGGAAGAAAATTCTGTTGGTTTGCATTTTCATAAAAAGGTATCCACTTTGCCATTTACAAACCGGTACATGAACTGGTGATATCTCATGTCATTTGACAGAGGAGAACGTGCTCTATAAATTATGGAGAAGAGTGAGTGGGTGAAATGACTCTAGGAGCAGAGGGTGGTGTTCTTGCACTTATTGCACTAATGGCAAAATTCAATTATGCGCAACAGCACACAGATCAAAAGCATGCCTAGGAAGCATATAGGTACTAACCAGTGGTGCACCAGAAGGGAAAAAAAACCCACACCAAAACTGTGGAACAAGAAGGGTTCTTTTTATGAAAAAGGTTGACTTGCAAACAATGTGGCTGTTTATACAAATAGGCATACGGACCAGCGTACAGGGAAACAGCGCATAAAAAACGGTGTGTACAAAATGCATGAGGAAAAACTAGCATGAAAAGAGGGGGGGGAGAGAGGGAGGAAGGGAGAGAGGAAGGAAGGAAGGGAAGGAGGGAGGGAGGGAGGGAGGAAGGAAGGGAGGGAGGGAGGAAGAGAGGGAGAAAGGAACAAAGACAGGGAAGGAGAAAATGGAAGCAGAGAAAAAAGAAAAGGAAGGAGAGATCAGTGAGGGCATAATCAGGTCTGTTGGATTAATCTACCTCTTTAAGCCTTCAGGAAATCTAGGTGGAGAAGAGGGACTATGTTTCTGCAGAGGGTTCACTCTCTCTTCCCCCCCTCCTCTTTCCCCTCCAGGCTTTGAAATTTCTGAGAACCAGAAACGACAAGCAGCCATGACTGTAAGAAAAGTCAGTAAACAGAAAGGTAATTCCCTCGGTGTGTGGTGGGCAGTGAGTGGACGGCAGCCGGCCGACAGCCTCACCTTTGCCCTTCTGTTCCTCCCCCTCAGTGCCTGCCTCCCTTTTCCTGTCCTGTCCTTTCAACTGTGCACCTTTTGGCGCCTACAGGTAGTCCTCAGGTTATGATGGCAGTCGGGCCCAGAATTTCCATCCCACTTAAGCCCGAGAGCCAGCTTGGTATGGTGATGAAAGTGTTGGACTAAGAGCGGGATAATCTAATTTTCTAGTCTTCCCTCAGCCGTGGAGACCCTCTCTCAGACCAGCCAACTTCCTAGACCTTGATATTGTGTGGAGGGGGGAAATGGGAGGAGGGAGTGCCCGCCTTCCTGTCCCAAAGACAGGATGTAAATCCACAAGTGAACAAATGGGCTGAATTGTCTATTGGAGAATTGCTTATTTCATGAGAAACTCAGGAGAAGAGATGCCAGGTGCCTCCGGCAGGACAGGTAAAGCCATCAGAAGCTGCCCTACAGCAGAGCAGATGACTAACAGTCAAACTCAGCATTTGTGAGAATTGGACAACTGCTCTGTCTCCCACAAGCTCCCAGCAGGAGATCAGGCAGCTACTCGATCCATTTCAATGGAAGAATCTACAAACTTTTGCAAGCAAGCAAAGCTGCCTCCATTAAATAACCCTCCAGTTCTAAGATCTGGCAAGGTTACCCATCAGCCATACACCATCTAATTGTCTTTCTGTCTTTGTCTCTCTAGGTGGTTGGGCTAGCAAATTGGGACTACATTATGTCTGGTCTGGTCAACAATTAATCAAATTGTGCCATAACTTGGCTACTCTTGTGGCTATGATACGGTTTCCTGCTGCTTTGAATCAGTTGGAGCTTAGGAAAAAGGGTGGATAAATGGATCAGGCCAAATGGCACCAAGATGTTTCATCATTTTTTGATTTGGGGAGTGGAAGTTGAAAGGGAATATTGGTACCTTAAGGTCTCCAGGTATTTACTTTACCTCTTAAGCCCCATGAAACCTTCCAGTTCTGGATTGCAGGCTTCAAAATACCACAGAAATCTTCTTATGGCCGTCAAGCGAACACATTTCTGCAGTGGTGTAAGATTAAAAAAATAGATTAAGAAGACACAAAAGCATCTCATGTATGAGAAGACAGTTCATATTCAGATTTTGCCTAATGTAATTTAAATGGCCCAACACAATTCAAGTTGCCAGTTGACTTCCAATCAGTTTTCTACAATACACTGCTCTCCAGACATAATGGACAACGATCCTCTTGATCTTTGTAAATCTTGCAAATGATAGGCTAGCTGAGATTGATGGGAGGTAGAGTTCTTGTCTTCTCAAGGGCATCAGATAAGTAAGGCTGTTTTACACCTTCATCCAGAGAAATATTGAGTACTTAATTGCATTTATCTGCTTAATTTAGCAATTGCTCTCTGATTATCTCAATCTCTCTGTGGACCCCTTGGAAAATGGTGGTGTCTTATTGAACTGAGCTTCTTTGAATATAAATTAATTGATTCTTATCGCCACCATTTCCCCATCCCTTCTCTATGCAGCCTTGGCTGTCTTTGCAGAATTGGGAATTGCTTTCAGAAAAAAAGCCATTCTTGCCTTTTCAATTTCGGTGAATTCAGTGGCATAAAGTCAAGTAGCTTTTTTTGGAATTGAATCATGAATATGGAAGTGATTAAAGACAAATCAAATATATGATGATGAGCAAAGATCAGCGTATCAAAGAAAATAAAGCCAGAAAGAAGAAATTAATTAATCACATTAGTCCAGACTGGCCAATTTATCGTATTTGCACTAACTGTTGATGTGTTTTCATTGCAGCCATAAAAAATTGGTAGCTTAGGAATGTCTGCACTATTCTGTCCACCTTCAGAGACTTCATAGCAGTGGTATATAGGTGGTCTCCAACTTACAACAGTTCATTTAGTGACTGTTCAAAGTTACAGCAGCATTGAAAATAGGGATTTTTCACATTTACGGCCATTTCTACATCCCCATGGTCAGGGGATCAAAATTTTCAGACACTTGGCAACTGACTCACATTTATGACGGTTGCAGAGTCCTGGAGGTCACATCTTCTTTTACGATCTTCTGACAAGTGAAGTCAATGAGGAAGCCCGACTCACTCAACAACAGCATTACTAACTTAACACCTACAGTGATTCACTGAACCACTGTGGCAAGAAAAGTCATAAAATGGAGGAAACTCACTTAACAAATGTCTCATTTAGCAACAAAAACTTTGGGTTTGTGGTCATAAGTTGAGGACTACCTATATATACAATCTCCATAGCAGATCCCCATAAAAATTGCAATGGAACAAGAAATGCTTCCTCTTCTATAGAGTTGCATGGGCAGGCAGATTCTGTAACTGAATTTTGGGGAAATCTCTGTTTCATAGAATCATAGCTTGGAGGGAACTGTTGAGGTCTTTTAGTCCAACCCTCTGCCCAAGGCAGGAGCCCTCATACCTCCCCGGACATGTGTTGTCTGATGTCGGGGCAGCCTCAGCTCTGGGAGGCAAGCGCTTTCTTCATTGATTAATTGTTCTCATGGTCAAGAAATTGTTTACCAACCAGAGTGGTGCAGCCGCACAAGAGCTTCACTTTACAGGCCCCAACCCTGCACTCTCTCAAAGGAGAAAGATCTGTCATTCTACGTCAGGCTTTCTCCACATTGGAAGCCTGCAGCTGTACATAAATAACACAAATATAAAAATAATAACATTAATTAATTAATTAAAACCTAAATAAGTTAAAAAGAAAATATAAACAAACAAAAACCTCAAAGGGCAGACTTGATGGAAGGATGGGTCTTTTTCTGTGGTCAATTTTCTATGTTTCCATAAAATCCTGCCCAAAGCTGAGAATAAGTCTTGATCTAGCTCATGGGCAAACAATGAAATTACAAAGAAGCTGAGAGCAGCCCTGCCACCTCACCCAGCTCAGTCCACAATTCTGTTAATTTGCACCCTTGTCTGCAAAAACCTCTAAATTAAAAATACAGCAGCGTTTGAACTTAAGCTCCAGCAAGGCCTTTGTTCCTGTGGGATTTGTTTTCCTACCGGTAATTTTCCATTTCATCCCTTAAAAGAATTCTTCACAAAGATTCCTTTTGCCTCCTGGAGAAGGAAACATTTTCCCCCTGTTTGTTTGGTTTCTGGTGTCACAGTTCTGGAGGCAAGAAAGAACAAAGAAAAAAAAAAGCGAGATTAACGGGTAGAGAAGAAGGGTGGGAGGTGATCCAACCTGAAAGCCTCATTTTCTACTTTTGTTTCAGGAGAAAAGAGACCTCCTCTCTCTGCAGCATTCAGAGGGAGATGAGCAATTGACAATTACAGTCGGCAGAAATGCTTAGCTCTTTGTGCTTCAAACGTGGCATAAGTGTGAAACGTGGCATAAGCTGTTGGCTTCAAACGTGGCATAAATCGAGTGACATTAAAGAAGGGGCACAAATGCTAGGAATACATTAGATCAGGGGTGTCCAACCTTGGCAACAGAATTCTGGGAGTTGAAGTCCACAAGTCTTAAAGTTGCCAAGGTTGGACACCCCTGGGTTAGATGAAAGGCTAAACCAACCCAGCACGACAACCAACAAGGTGCCCTCAGTGAAGTCAGGATCTTCCCCACTGCATTCAGGCATTTCAAGTAGGAGTGGGGGATGATGGCCCTTTAATGAACTTGTGGACTTCAACCAGGATGGCTCAGGAATTCTGGGAATTGAAGCCCCAAAGTCAAAAAAAGGACCATCGTTCCCCTCCCCTGGTTTAAAGCGTTTATACAGCTGCCCATCTTCTAACCAACTCTGAGCGAGTCCCAATCCAAAGTTAAAAGAATGTATAAAATCAGCTTAAAGGTATAAAATGAAAGCAAGTTAAATATTAGGAGGAAAAAACCCCAAAGACCTGGAGAAACTTCTTGGGTGAGAAGCGAAATGTTTTCAAGGGGAAAAATACAAAGTTCCAACTGACTTTTGGAGAAGAACCTTTGGGACATTTGGTGTCAAGTCAACCTTTTAATGTGCAATTATCCAAACTTATCCCAGCACTTGCGGGGAAACCAGGTCTTCAAACAGAAGGCTTAGGAGGGTGGAGATCTGCCAAGGTTCCGGCTGCAGAAGGTCCTAGAGGCTGCCACAGAAAAGGCACACTTCCTAGATCCCATCAGATTGCAATATTTAGGGGAAGGGTGCTCACCCTGTCTGATCTGGTAGGATGGATAGATTCAGTGCATTAGATAATATATGGAATGTGCCACCACCGGAAGTAGTGGCCAACGTCTTGGGTGGCTTTCATAGGGATTAGAACATTTCCCAGGGATTAAGATTTATTAGTGGCAACTTTTCAAGCTGGCTATGTATGATCTGCATAATGGCGGCAGAAAGTCTATCAATGCAGTCGACATTTTGTTTTCCAAATGTGTCTGGCAAACTACTCTAGGGACATAATGGAAAACTTACGGAGGTTTGGGGTTGTTGTTTTTTAGCCTAATTCAACAGGATATTTTTAACCTATTGCAAGAAGTTGGACTTGATGACCTCTGAGGTCCCAGCCCAAGGATTCTATGTTCTATTTATTTACACAAATGACAAAAATCTTTAAACTTTAAAAAAGAAGAGACAACTCCAAACAAATTAAAAATACAAACTAAAAGAGAAGAGCTGGAAGAAGATGGAGGGGGGAAATCGACCTTATATTTTATATTTATCAACTATCAGTCATCTATTAACGAATACATTAATGTTTACAGAACAAAATATTGTAAAATATCACAAATTCTCTGCCATAGTAACACATACCATCATATTACTTGATTAGTAAAAATAGTGTATTTTCCAAAATAGAAAAATGACAGGTATATGACAACCGTTCCTTAACACCTTGAATTGATCCCTTTCCCAATATGATCCTTTTAGCCACATCCCATGTTCAATACAACCATAATTTCTGACACAATAAAATTCCAAAGCTTTGGAATTAATACACTTTAACACAATCTTTAACATTTAAAGATTTTCCCATACTGTAAATCTGTGGGGTCCTTGGAGCTCTCTAAACTTGGTTGTTTTTCAGACATTTCATTACCCAACCGGGCAACAACACTAGAAGGAAGTGAAGCTTATATTTTGTTTGCATACTTAAACAATAGCCTAATCAAGAAACCATCAGGACCACTCCCACAAACACCGGCAGGGCAAGCCACTCATATATCAACACAGAGGAAACCCCACTTCGTTCTAGCACTGATGATGTCACCTAGTTGGGTAATGAAACGTCTGCAAAAAAAAAAAAAAAGGTCAAAGAGCCCGAAGGGCCGCAGAGTTCAACCCTGAGTTACCAATGTTTTCTTCTAGCGGTACAGGTTATTTATGCATCTGTTTATACTCATTTCATGGGAACATGGCTCCCTTTGGTGCTATAGCATGAGTGGTTTTATGAGGTTTATCCCTTCCCCATAACTGCGCTTGGTGTGTCTGTTTTCATAGCAGATTGACTTGGCTGCTTTCTCTCATTTTGTTCAACCTCTTCTATTATTGTCCACGCTTTCTGGTTCTTCATTTAGTCCTGGCAGGACCACAGCTCAGGGAGCACAGAGTTGACATGAAACAATGTCAGTTCAATCTCAGGCCCTCAAAAGCTTTCCCAAGGTTCCTTCGACACTCATTGCTATTGGTTAATGATCTGTTTTTCTATAAGGCAGCTAATGAAGGTTATAATTCAGCAGGAAACCCTCAGAACCCTTCTGGCTTTTGCTTGCACAACGGTGCCCTGATTTCTTGAACATAGCAGACATTTCTGAGAGCCAAAATGAAAGTACACCTGAGTCGTGTGCTTGGGGCCACCGTGCCAGAAATCCATGGGACCAGAAACCAAGAGGTCAAAGTGGTCAGGACAAAAACAAGTTTGGATTCAATTTCAACTTATAATAATTGGTATTTGCAAATGTTTTCATTGATAGAGAGAGAGTTCTTGTCCTATAAGAGTTCCTTTAGTGACCATTCAAAGCTACAATGACACTGAAAAAAGTGACATGACTATTTTCACACTTATGACCATTGCTGCATCCCGATGGTCGCAAAAAGCTTGGCAACTGGTTCACATTTACGACTGTTGCAGTATTCTGAGGTCATGTGGTCACCTTTTGTGACCTGACAAGAAAAATCAACGGGGTAGCCAGATTCACTTAATAACCATGTTACTAACTTAACCACTGCAGTGATACACTTAACAACTGTGGCAAGAAAGTTTGTAAAATGGGACAAAACTCACTTAAGAAATGTCTTGCTAAGCAACAGAATTTTGGACATTATGATGTGATCATAAGTTGAGGACTACCTGTATTTCATAGTTGCTTGACTAATTCCCCAGCTTGGTCACATTAGACCGGCAACTTTTGGAGGGGCCGTGAGTCATCATCAAGATTTAGTGGGAGGTTGGGGTCCAAAAATGGGCTTTGAGTCTGGCAGGGACATCTTGGTTGGGTTGGCATTTCTTTGCAAAAGCAACACTCAGGTTCAGGGAAACGTTGTGGCTTCTTCAAGGAACTGCCAACCGGAAGAGAGAAAGTAACGGTGCCAGGTCCGACTGCACCCCTTAATGTCCACTTTGGGGAGATTGAGAAGGGTGAATGTGTGCTTCCATTTAATCCTTGCATTAAGATGGACTTCTTTTTCTCCTCCTCCTCCCTCTCCTTTCTTCTCCACCTCCCATCCAGGTGTCGGCTACTCCCGATCCGTTCCTCCGACATACCCACCACCCCAGGAGCCACTAAATCAGGGACAATACTTGGTAACTGACGGCATAGCCCAACCGCAGGTCTATGAGTTCACTGAACCGAAGCGTAGCCAGTCACCCTTCTGGCAAAACTTCAGCAGGTTAACGCCATTCAAAAAATAATATATAGAGTGAGGGGGAGAGTTTTAAAATAAAGTTTAAAAAAAATTAAAAAATGAATAAAAATATATTTATAGATGGACCTTTTTTGGAGAAGCACTGTTGAAACTTAACATTATATATATATATGAATGATATTTCATATATATATAGATATATAGATATATGAATGAAATTTTGAAGGACCAAAAACATTTTTGTTATACTTGTTTTGGGGGAAAAATAGTATCTGCTGCATTATTTTAGGAAGCACCAAGTGTTTTGAATCATGTAACTTTATTTTGGCATCCTTGGAAATGTTGTTAAAATTTGTTCTTGAAATTGTTTTGCTACAGAAATGGTGTTCCAGAATGATTCCTATTTGCCTTGTGCTCTGCCTTTGACAGGTTCCATCCAGGGCCAGTGAGGTGCATATTTGTTTTGAGATTTCATTTACAAAAACGGTCTTCTAAAAGCACCTGGGTGCAGGGAGAGGTGTTTAAACCCCTTCCTCTCCTATATCCCTTCCTCCTCTCCAAGCACCCTGGATGGAGCCTGTCAGAGACCCAGGGAGAGAAGGATCAAATTCTCACTTGTTCCTCTGGAAAGAGCTTGGCTGGAGCAACTACCTCGCCAGCAATGAATGTTCCGGATTGGCTCGATTTGGTTGTTTGGAATGAGCTGCAGTTTGTGCCCCATATTCTTTGGTTCTGATCCAAAGCTCCTTTGTACTGTGCAACTGATACTTGTGTAGCTTTGAATGCGGTTGGTAGAAGAACACCATCTCTGCAGTTCTTCGGCTCTGCAAATTCTGCGAAAAACCGGGATTGCAGCTCAGAAGCACCCAGGCAACTGTATCAGAGTGCGGGTGGGAAGAGATATTATATGAATTTTATTATGCAAGAAAGTTTGCCTTTGGCTGCTGCTGATGCAGCCTTTTAATTGCAATCACCTCCCCTTCTTCTGTGGGACTCCTCCATTTCCCAATCAAGCCAATTAAGTTATCCCCATTTCAGTTACACATTCTTTGGGGATTTGATCCATTTCTTTCCCCTTTTTTGGTAGAGCTCATTGCAAAAGCTTAGATCTTTTCCTGCATAGTTTCAAAAAAAATGTATGGAAGTCCACATATGCCAGCTTAAGTGCCAAATGGATTCTCAGAATTCTGGTCCGTTGGCCCATTTCAGTGCTCCTAAGATTGTGGCCAACATCCAAGCACACCACAGGCCAGCAATAACGAGTTCATAGTCTGGGGATCACTGGCTCCATCATCTCAAACCTTGTCCTTTCCAGAAAGGCATGCAGTATTATTACGGAAGAAGGTTTAATGTTATGCAGCCGAACAAAGCCAACCCCTTTTTTCAAAGGATGCATTTCACAAGCATCCTTTGGATCACAAAATGTCAGGAACTGGTAGGCAGAGAAGATTGAGGGGGTCGAAATGGGACAACTTGCCACAGCCAACTCCTCAGGCCAAGTCGTTGCAGGACAACTCAACAATTCAATTTAATTATTTGAAATAATTTAAAAAAACATTTTATTTTTTGTCATTTGCATTTTATTTTGTCCCTCTTTTGGCATCCTTTCATTCACGTTTTATTTTGTCCTTCTTTTTGTATCCTTTCTTGGATGATTCTGTTCGACTATTTCTTCGATACTAGTGTAACTCTTGTCCCATGGCGAGTTGTCGTAGCCAGTGCTCAACAAACAGACAACACTGCCAAGAAATCCCTAATCTTGAGAGTTTTGCCTCTTAACTCACCTGCTGTGGCCCACATGGATAAAATTACCCAAATATAAACCCACCCATTCCAGGACTCTTAGATCCTAAAATATATGTCGGGGGAGGAGTTGCCCGCAGTCCCTTTTTTTGTGCCCTGTTAGAATGTACTTTATTTTTTTTTAGAAAATCTATTTATGCATAGAATCATAGGGCTGGAAGGGATGTTGGACGTTTTCTAGTCCAGCCCCCTCCTGCAGGAGCCTTACACCATCCTTATACCAGTCAAATGGTTCTCCAGTCTATTTTTGAGAAGCTCCAGTGATTTCCCAAGGATCCAGTAGCATCGTATTGCCCCAATTATATTGCACTATCTCAGAATAACAGAGTTGGAAGGGACCTTGGAGGTCTTCTAGTCCAACCCCCTGCTCAAGCAGGAGACTCTATATCATTCCAGACCAACACCTGTCCAGTCTCTTCTTAAAAACCTCCCATGATGGAGAACCCAAACCTTCTGAAGGTAAACCCTTCCACTGGTTAATTTTTCTCATTGTTAGGAAATATCTTCTTAGTTCTAGGTTGTTTCCATCCATTGGTTCTTGCCTGGCCTTCTGATGTTTAATCTCCATTAAACACATTTAATTAGACAGGGAGCATCAGGTTACTCCCTGCTTCGAGACCCCCTGAGCCCCACTGGTAGAATTTGTGGTGTGATTTCTCGTGGTTTTCCAGGGAAAGGAGGGGATCGCCACACACAAAGGGACACTTTATGTCCCTTTTGCTTCATTCTCTTGCTGCCTCCTGCATCCTGGCCACTGAAAATGTGGTTTGTGTGAATTAAAACACCCCCCAGAAGTTCCCTAAATATGAATCAAAACAAGTCGTCCAAATTTTTAAATGATCTAAGGTGGAATTTGCCTTTTATGTCCCTTTTGTAAGCTAACATGGATGATGAGATGCCAGTCGTATTATTTTGGAGTTTGTTCCTTGGTTGCTGTCAGCTAAGAAAATATTCCATCATACATTTTAGCTTCCAAAATGTTACTAGGGGAAACAGAATGAGAAGGAAGATGCTCAGAGGTTGCATTAAGGAAAGCTCTTGTCTCCTTTGCTTAGCTTGAATTGACTTTGTTAACGGAAACCCTTTGAAGAATGAAAGCAAAGTCACCGCACTTCTTTTCATTCCTGAATGGTTACGGTTCCTTTTGTGGATATTCAGGCGCAGCAGGAAAACCTGGCTGCCTCTTTAAACAAGAGGAATTCCCTGGTTCCTGCTGATTTCGTGTTTATGCCAACAACAGCAAAATTTTGGACAGATTTCTCAGCCAGATAAATGATAAAGGGGCAAACGTTTTATGTCCTGCTTTTAGAAAACACACAAGGCAGACCCACACTGAGTTTTCCACAACTCCATTTTTATGAGTTCCCTTTGCTTTATCCATTGACCTGTTGAGATGGGAAGACGCTTTAAGAATGGAATAGCCTCCATTACTGTAAATAGTAACAATAACGGAGTTGGAAAGGACTTTAGAGGTCCAACCCCTGCTCTTGCAGGAGATCTATACTATTTCTGATGGCTGTCCAATCTCTTCTTAAAAGCCTCCACTGTTGGGGTACCCACAATTTCCAAAGGCAATTTGTTCCCCTGGTTAATTGTCCTCACTGTCAAGAATTTTCTCCTTAGTTCTAAGTTGCTTCTCTCCTTGGTTACTTTCCATCCTTTGATTCCTGTCCTGCCTTCTGAGTGCTTTGGAGAATAGGTTGACCTCCCTCTTCCTTGTAGCAGCCCTTCCAAGTATTGGACGACTGCTATCTCATCACCCCTACTCTTTCTTTTCACGAGACTAGACATGTCTCAGTCCCAATCCAGTTCTTCATATGATTTAGCTTCAGGCCCCTAATCTCTTTTGTCACTCTTCTCTGCACTCTTTCCAACTTCTTTGTTGTATTGGGGTGACCAGAACTGGATGCAGTGTTCCAAGTGTGGTCTTACCAAGGCTTCCTAGAGCGGCACTGGTAACCATGCTACAAACAGAAAAAAAGAGAGACAGAGAGGGAAGGAGAGAAAAGAAGAAGCAGAAGAGGGAAAATGCCAGGGAATTGGAAACAATGCCATGGACGTCTTGGCTTTCTTACCTCTTTGCTTGTTTGTTTATTTGGGGGGGAGAACCAAGAATGTTAGTTAAGCCTTTTCATTTGCTGTTTTATGCCTCAGAGAGTGCGTTTTTTTTTTATTATTATTATTTTTTATTTATCAGAAGATGCTTCCTAAAAAATTCAACCCTAGGGGAAAAACAAGGAAACCACCATCGTTCACCTCCTTAGTTCCATCATAAATCAAGACAAACATGGTCTGACCGGCAGCTTCTTTGTAAACTTGCAGCGAAGGGGAAGTGAATGACAAGGGAGGGGAAAGGGCCGGACTGACACATGGGCAAGGTAAGAGAGATGCTGGCATTTGTTCCTGAGCAAAAGGGTCCATGCGCTCCCCTCCCCGAACTCATCTGGTAGGAACACACCTCCTTCCCTCACAAGGTGCTATGAGAACCGATGCTTAATTCCCCATAAATCCCAATGATGGGTTGGAGTCCTCCATGACCCAGCATTCTGGACCAGGAGACCTGTTGGGACCAGAAGCGACTTGTTTCCTTGAAGGCCTACATCTGATTGGACTTGGGGAGGGGACAACGGAGGGGAGAGAGAGAGAGAGAGAGAGAGAGAGAGAGAGATACTCGGGCAGGTTGATTGAACATTGACTTCTGTGCCAAGCCCAAAGGAAGCTGAAGGCATCTGTTGAAGAAGGACGTTGGCTGTGCCTGAGATACCTCAGTCTAAGCAGAAAGAAAGAATTTTGACACTTTAAATACAGGGATGTGACCCTCCATCTGTAGACTGATGAAATGTTTTCCCTTGACTGCAGATACCAAGATTTTCTTTTCGAGATCTCCACTTCCCCGTTCTCTGAAAATTTAAGGCAAACAAAAACAAAAAGCAAGAATCCAAAACTAGGTGCATCTAACAGTTGTAAATAGACAATAAATAGAGGAGAGAGAGAAAAAAACAAAACAAAGAGAAAAACCATATATTTGAAATTTGTTTCAGTTTTTGGATGGACAGTAGCTGTCCTTTTCAGTGTTATTGATAGTACACTTGTGATCCTTTGGGATTCTGATTTTGTTCTCTTTTGATGCTTACTTTTTCATCGCGGCTACATTTCAGGGAACATGTATATTTAGTAGCTATTGTAAGTTCTGCATGGCACCACCAGGCTCTTTTCTTTTTCCTGGAGAAGAATAAAGAATGAGCTTTTGGGGACATAACAGTCGTTGCACTTGGAATGGAGGAACGTATGCCAGGGAATGCGAGCGGGGGAGGGGAGGAAATGCTTCATTTGGGGCTGGACATTTTCTACAGGGGAGGCTCTACCTGTCCAAGCAAAGGATTTCGGTAACCCAGCTAATTCTCAGTTGCCAGTTCTATTCTTTTCTTTTTATTGGATTGTTTGACCCTGTCAAACAAATGTCGGAATTGTGTGCATTAAAAAAAAAAACAAATCAAAACAGTGTTTTAAAAAAAAGTGTTGTAAAGACACTGAGCCTTATGAAAAAATATTTATGGAGTTAAATAAAAAGACCTGAAAAGACATCTCAAGCGTTTCTTCCTAAAATTAGTACAGTGGCCGAGACGTGTGCGTCTTTATGAATTGGATGGAGGCTAAAGGGTGGGGCTGAATTTTCTGGGTTGAATCATTTCAGAGGGCAGGGATGAAATGATGTTTGTGCTTTTATATGTATATTGCATTGATGCAATGCAGGGAGTCCTCGACGAAACGTTTCATTTAGTGACCATCCGAAGTTACAACAGCACTGAAAAAGTGACTTACGACCATTTTTCACATTTACAACTGTTGCAACATCCCCATGGCCATGTGATCAACATGCAGAGCTTTGGCAACTGACTCATATTTATGACGGTTGCAGTGCCCCGGGGGTCATCTGATCCCCTTTTGTGACCTTCTGACAAACAAAGTCAATGGCGAAGCCAGATTCACTTAATATCTGGAATGATTCACTTAACAACTGTGACAAGAAAGGTCATAAAATGGGGCAAAACTCAATAAATGTCTCATTTAGCAATAGAAATGTTGGGTTCAGATGTGGTTGTAAGTCAAGAACTACTCATATAGTTGCATTGATGCAACGTCTATCCATCCCTCTTGGGCTGGACCCCCATTGAGATGATATATTCAAACAGGAGTTCTTAACTCTGGCAATTTTAAGATGTGGAAACTTCAGTTCAGGGCTGGCTGAGGCATTCTGGGAATCGAAGTCCATACATCTTAAAGTTGCCAAAACCCTGCACTGATGGCTGGAAAATGAATGTTAGGTTGCTACCCTTTGGGTGGGAGATCCAAGCAGAGTCCTGCTGTCAGGGTTCCAGCGATTGCCCTAATTAAATCATGAGCCTCGGGCCAAGCTTCAAAAGAAGTAAAAAAGATTTATTAGAAGCAACATGTCGGCATTAACCTAAATGAAGCCAACTCTGGCATACGTAATTTACAATCGCCTGTGACCCTGTTTCCCCCCCACCTTGTGCATATCATAAATCCGATTCTCCAATAAAGCACGCTCACAGGATGGGTGTCATCAATCACGTTCTCCAATTAAGAATTTTCGTGGGCAGAATATCCGGTAGCCTAAGTACAATCTTTGTAAGATAAGCATGGAATGTACTTCTGGTTGTAAACTGCTGTAAACTTCAGCGTCCCTCCCTCCTCCCCGCTTTATGGTGACTCTTAAAACAGGCATAG